GTAAGTAGCCCCTTCTCCGCCACACCTTCCCCAAGCAGCCCTTCTAAACTTTGGTTCCTTGTCATTCTCTACCTCAGCCCCTTGTCTTTTACCTTCATAGTAAATCTCCCCAGCTGCCGTATTTTCTGGAGGTCTGCTTACTCATCTCTTTCCTGTTTGGTTCAGCATTCAGAGCACAATGCTTGGCATAGAGTTAGTTAAGTGTGGGACAAAATCTGAACTCATGTAATCCTCGTATATGCTGCACTGGGCCCCCTTGTCTATGTTACAGATGACGATACCTCAATGCTGAGGATATCTTGCATGGGGCGATGAGAGAGCCTTTAGGTTGGGGGCAATTGTGGTACGGTTCCCCAGGACAGGGAAGCATATCACCTCACTCCGATGTGGCAGGCCTGCCACAAGAGGTCACCTGAGTCCACTGAGGCTCTGCTCAGTACCTCACTGCATTCCTTTCACTAGCCCAAGCTCCAAATTACCCTGGGAGTGATGGCCACCTGAGAGCCAGATGCTGCACATCACACTCCTGCAGCAGAGACACGCCCCCTCCACCCCTTCTCTCCACCACAGAGCCTCCCAAATCCCCTTGTCTGTCAGAGTGCTAGTTCATGAAGGGCAGAATCAGGAGCAGTGGTGGGTGACAGAGTAAGAGTTTAGGTGACATACTGAAGAACATATTTTTAATAGTTGTTTTAATTTCACATCAGAAAATTAGCAAATCAAAAATGTGATTTCAGATACCATAGGGGGATACAAAATTCTCACTGCAAACAAGTTTAATTAAATAGAGTAAGTGAGTTAAAAGAAAATGATGACGCAAATAGCAGCACGGGTAGTGTGTGGGGTGAGGGTGGGGTATAGATGGCTCCTGCCTGGGCAACACTGCTGGCCCACATTGACCAAGGACCCCTCAGCAGGGTAAAGGTCAAGGTGGGGCTGCATGGAGAACTGCATTCAAGTGCCCCTCTTCCCACAAGCATGCTGCCAGCAGGTCTCAGCTTCTCCAGGCACTCAGTCAAGAGAACAGGTCTTTTCCCAGAGGGCAATTCTGCTACTTCTTTAAAAAAAATAATAAAGGACTGGCCCCATATTGCTACAATATCATTATAAACTATGGTAAGTGTTTTAAATGAAGGAGTGGCCAGGACCAGAACACCTCAGATCTGGCACATCAAGGTAGAGAGTTTGAATCAATCAGAAGCCACTGAAGGCTTAAAAAGAGAAGCATTAGGATTCTATTTACCTGGTTGCTGGGGTGGAAGCTGATTTGGAAGGTTGCAAGAATGTAGGCAGATTCTTAGAAAGCTACTGCAGTAGTCCAGGAGGCTTGGGCCCAGGATGTGGCTGTGACGATGGAGAGGAACAATGGGCTACATATCAAGTGTCTAGCACAGCACTACAAAACATTCACTCAACAAACATGTACTGAACTGCTCCAGGGCTACAGTCTACCCTTGGCTCTGAAGATTTACGGGTAAACGAAATTCAACCCTACCTCACGGAACTTACTTGTGGGGCGAAGGGGCAACAGGAAAAAAATTAATAAAAACTCAGGGAGAGATAGGTGCTCTGTTGAAAATAAAACAGGAAAGGGTAACTAGGGGACCACTTAGGTGGTTAGGATGGGCCATAACAATGAGATGACAAATTTCATGAAAATTTGCCCTAGTAACAGAGACCCAATAAATGATACCCGCTTAACGTCATTACCATTAATGCAAAACCAAGTACTGGGTGAAGACTGCAATCAAAACTGCTTAAATGTCCCAATATTCTTCCTTAATTTAACTCTCTAAGAGGATCGCACCTGCATGCCCATTTTAAAGCCAGAGGAGCCGCACGTTCCATCTAACCTGCCTGTTTCCTTCTTTGAAAGGGGAGCATGGTTTCTGAGGCTACAACAAAACATGGGGAGCCTCTAACAAACACTGAATGAGACACCCCATCACTCTGTAACAAGCTCTAGATGGAACATGAGGAGACAGATGGAAGGTTTATTTTTACCTGCTCTCAATCTTGATTTCATGTAATTCAGTTACCAGTAAGCGGTAAACTGCGGGAACATAATACACACTGCAGGTGACTGACTACCCTGGACACAAACCAGCACTGAACTCAGCTGGAGGCTGAGTCAGCAGAAAATGTTTCCTGCGAAAGACAACAGAGATTTCAGGTAGCATAAAACATGTCTGTGTTCCAACCTTTTTTTGTATCTTCTGTCTCAAGGGTATGAAGCATCTGCTTAAGTATGTCTGCTATACTGAAAATAGAGTTTTATGTGCCATGGCCTAAAGTGGCCTCAAACAACAGGCTCATTTTATAAATATTGCAAGAAAGAACTGCGTTCTCAAAAACAAAGTTATCTTTCATAGCAGTCCCGCCCTCCCTCCCCCAGCCCCATGTAACTGGTTCATGCCTAACAACTCCACATTACACAACTTTCTTATTTCAGAGGGGTACATTTTGCAACAAAATTTCATGCTGATGGTTCACTGGGAAGTGATGTGTGCATAACATACCACTCCTGAGATTTCCCTCTGACCCCAGTTCAGTGGGCAGGAGCTCCTGCTTTGAAAATAGAAGAGGTCCACATCTTCTTGGCCCTGCTATACGGCAGAAAGCTGTGAGGCTTTCACAGTTACCCTGTTTCTAAAAGAAAGTGTGGAGCTAAAACTGATTTTAAAGAAAACTCCAACCCTGCCCACAGGGAAGTGTCACAACAGGGGCCATGTTTGTTTCGATCATTTTATGCCACTACCCAGCTCAGAGCCTGGCACAAAGAACACACAATAAAAATGTATGCAAGAAGGAAGAAAGGAAAAGCCCAGAGTTTTTATTAGATTTCTTAATTTCCACCCTCAATGATATTTATTTTAAAGTATGTAGTCCTGCTTTTGATCAGTAATAAAATAATAATAGCTATCATCAAGAACTATCGTGACCCAATTCACCTAAGATCACCAGGGTTCAACAAAGTTTGACTACAGTTAGTTCACGGATTCACTGCAATGAGGGAGCTGCCCTAGGGTTCCTTGCAAACATTATCCCCAAGACTCACAACAACCCCGAAGGTTGTATTATTCCTTAATTTTACTCAACAGGAAATTAAAGTTCAAAGAAGTAGCCTTCCTCACATGGCTAGTAAATCCTTGTCCATCTAACTCCAAAACTATCACAAGGCAACTCAGAATATCACAGCCCAATTTGCACCAAGCCCCTAAGATGTTCCTACAGACACTGTAAGCCAGTGGTTTATAAACATTTTTTTTTAACTATAAGAGGAAACTTCCCTTCGAATAAAATCTTACTAAAACCATAAACAAACAGACATGTATTTGAGGCACAGGGTGTTGCCTCCTTCAGAACTACCCTCATCACTGGGGCAAGGCAATAGGGGCTACTATGTACTTTTAAAATGTTTAATTCAACTTAACCAGACAGGCCATCTGGATCTGCATCTTCTCACTTTTCTCAATGCTTAACCATTGGACAGCTCCTTCAAAGGGGGTAGGGCAAAACTGGCCTTTTAACGCAGACAGTAATGATCTACCACTACACAGTTCTATTAACTCCCATGTTCTTAGCTGAACAAACAGCAAAAGAAAAGAAATGGAGGTTGGAACAGGGGGGATTATTTGTTGAAAGGGATTTATTTGAGATGGCCAAAGCCTGTGCCTTGAAAGACTGTTCTCAGGGGGAGGGGTGGAGGTCAGATCAGGAATGCACCAAGGAGTACTCTATATAGCCTTCAGTGTCATACTGAGCACGATGGACTTTTCTTTTTATGCAAAATCAAGTGGATGGATGATATGGTGAGATCAGAAATATGCCTAAGAACAGACTGATTGTCTCAAAGGATTTACTAGATTCTACTTGTTAAAAAAAAAAAAATAGGGTGATATAAATGAGAGTATCTATACAGTTTGAAAATTAAAATGGCATATAATGTGGCTGTTTATTTCTGAGTACACAGGATGCCTGAGACAGCAGGACAGGTTTTGTCACATTGTTCAGATCCTCCTGTCAGGATCTGTGTCAGTGTTTTGCCGGCTGACAAAGACATGGGGAGAAGACCCATCTCCGCAAGGAACCTGCATGGACGATAAGGTGGCCGGAGCCCATGTCTGGGCTGAGAAATGAGCGGTGCCTGCAAACAAGTTTTCCTGCTGGCTCCTGAGTCACCCATAGCAGCTGATATGCTCCTGACAGGCTGGTCGAGTGACTACAGCACAGGTGTGTCCGGTGCTGCTGGATGGCCAATTCACCCTCTCAGCCCTCATTTTCCTAGGCACTTTCCAGCTGCAGGTAGCTCTGTGATCCAGTTCTGGCCAGTGAAATGTAAGCAGAAGTCAGGCAGCTGGGTGGGGCTTCTGGGAAAGTTTTTTGCCTTCCCGCTGAAAAGGGTCACTCCCAGCTGACAGACCCCACCATCTTTCATCATTCTTCTTATTCCTACCAAGGCCACAGCCATGGTACCTGGAGGTCTAGCTCCCACCTTAAGGCCAAGAGGCACTAAAACATGAGGATGACAAAGTGCTAAGGAAGGTGACACAGAGAGGACAAAAAGTACCTGAGTCCCTGGTATCACCTGTGAGCAACTGCATCAACCTTGAACCACCTACCTCCAGACACACTTTGTCATCAGGACCACATAAATCCATAACTATTGAGGTCACCAGAGCTGGACTTTTGTTACTGTCAGTCGAATGCACTCTTAACTGAGGGGACAGTTTCTCTGGTGACTGAGACTTTTTTTTTAACCTGAGAGTAAATGATTTCCCTGGACAAAATAAGGTGTTCTCCTATTAGTCACTAACCTCAACACACATTCAGAATTGCCTCGCTAGAAAAACATAACAGCCATATACCTCACTGTATGGTCCTAGAGCAGATTAAAGAACTGTATCAGTAACTTCGCATATTGGAAAGTAAAGAGTATAAACACGTGCAAGATAGAAGAAACCAAACTACGAAAATAACATACTTCACTGGCACTCTACCTTAGAAATGTTACTTGAATGACTCATGGAATGTCCCAAAGTCTTCTCATTCTGCAAGAAAATGAAACAGGTGATTAAAATGTGCAGAGAATAAGTAATTACTCATAACAATCCTCCTGACAATCATTCTCTCAACTAGAATTTGCTGAGCCCAAACTACTATGTACTAGCAAAAATGAATGACACAGTAGTCCTTGCCTTAATGGAACTTAAGTTATTAAGAACAGGAATTTGGAATTAACTAAAAATAAAAGAGCTCTAAGTGTTTTAAGATACATTCAAATGGAGGTTCAGAGGCAAGAAACTGCATGTTGAGTTTTATCTGAGGTGGTCCATGCCGTAAGTAGCCACGGTAGGATCAGGAAGAAGAAAGTGGGATAGCTGACCCCACCCAGGTAGTTTGGCTGTCAAAGTGTTGGGTACTCAACAGGGACATCCCACAGCTCACATCTATTCCCTCAAGCCTGTTTCTCCTCCTGGATTAGAGAAATATGAGAGTCATACTAGTCTCCTCTACCTCTAGTCACAAAGTCTTGTTATCAAATTCTTCCTGTTTAACGTCTCTCAATCTCCAATCTCCACCCCCAACCCCCACCCACAAGCACGGTCGGACTTCAGCAAACAAGCATGCAACAGAGCGCCCCCAGGAGAGGCTGGAGGCACTTACATCAAACCCCACCCCCCTGCACCGGCAGGGGCATCTTTACTAGGGCAGGTCTCACTATCAGCCACCAGTGCAGTGGGCCTCTCCCCCAGAGGACGAACACAGGCCCCCTGCATGTACCAAGTCTACTGATCATACAGTGCTCCAAAGTGTTGGCTTCAGTTCTGCTGGAGATAGGACCAGGCTTTCTTTCTTTTTTTTTTCCTTTAGAATCAGGCTTATAGTTTTTTGTTTGTTTCCTTTCTTCATTTTTTAGATCAAACTTTCTTTTTTCTTTCTTTTTCTTTGGAGTCAAGACTTAGGTTTTTGTTTGTCTGTTGGTAGTTTTGTTCATTTCCTTTTTGTCTTGGATCAGGTTTTTTCTTTTTTCTTTTCCAGGCTTATTTTAACAAACAAATCAAAGCACACTTAGTTAAAGGTCCAAACACTCCCCACTGCAAGCAAGGAGGAACTCTGCAGAGGACTGACCTGTGGGAAAGAGTAGCCAAAAAGAATAGCCAAAACATCAACAGTGGAGTGCACACAGCATACACCAGAAACACTTCCTGAAGCACCAGGCCCTGGACAGTGTATGACCCCCTTCTTAATATAGCATTACTCTCAGGAGCAGAAAACATAACAAGATTTCATAACCTGCAAAAGATAGAAACCTAGACAAAAATGACAAGACAGAGGAATTTTCCCCAAAAGAAAGATCAAGAAGAAATCATAGCCAGGGATTTGCTCAAAACAGATATAAGCAATATGTCTGAACAAGAATTTAGAACAACAGTCACATGAATACTAGCTGGGCTTGAAAAATTCATAAAAGACACCAGAGAAACCCCCGTCTTGCAGAGATAAAAGACCTAAAAACTAGTCAGGCTGAAATAAAAAATGCTATAACTGAGATGCAAAACCAATTGGATATAATCACAATGAGGATGGAAGAAGCAGAGGAATGAATAGGTGATACAGAAGATAAAATTATGGAAAATAATGAAAAAAGAAGAGGGAAAGAAAACTATTAGGTCACAAATACAGACTTAGGGAACTCAGCAATTCCATAAAGCGCAATAATATCCATATCATAGGAGTCCCAGAAGAAGAGTGAGAAAAAAGGGCAGTAGGTTTATTTCAACAAATTATAGCTGAAAACTTCCCTAAGCTGGGGGAGGAAACAGGCATTCAAGTCCAAAAGGCACAGAGAACTCCCCTCAGATTCAACAAAAACAGATCAACACTAAGACATATCAGAGTGAAACTTGCAAAATACAAAGATAAAGAGAATTCTGAAAGCAGCTAGGGACAAAAGTTTCTAAATCAACAAGGGCAGACACATAAGGTTAGCAGCAGACCTGTCCACAGAAACTTGGCAGGCCAGAAGAAAGTGGCATGATATATTCAACATGCTAAATGGAAAAAATACACAGCCAAGAATACTTTATCCAGCAAGGCTGTCATTCAGAACAGAAGGAGAGTTTCCAAAACAAGCAAAAACTAAAGGAGTTTGTGAACACTAAACCAGCTTTGAGAGAAATATTAAAGGAGACCCTTTGAGCAGGAAAGAGAGAGAAAAAGCAACACAGAAAGGAACAGAGACAATCTACAGGAACAGCGACTTTACAGGTTATACAATGGCACTAAATTCATATCTATCAATAATTACTCTGAATGTAAACGGACTCAATACTCCAAAGACACATGGTATCCGAATGGATAAAAAAACAAGATCCATGGATATGCTACTTACAAGAGACTCATCTGAGACCCAAAGACACCTCCAGACTGAAAGTGAGGGGGTAGAGAACCATTCATCATGCTAATCTCCAATCTCATTTACATTTCTACTGTCAATGCCTTAGGCTTAGTTTCTCTTCATTTCTCACTTGAAATTCTTGAATACCTTCCTAACTTATCTTTCTGCTCTGAAAGTGACATCCCTGATACATGATTGCTATGGACTGCATTGTGTCCCCCCAAATTTGTATGCTAAGTTCTAGCCCCCAATACTCAGAATGTGACTATATTTGGAGCTAGGGTCTTTAAAGAGGTAATTATGTTAAAATGAGGTCATTAGGGTGGGACTTGATCCAATACAAATGGTGTTCTTATAAGAAGCTGAACTTGGGACATAGGTACACACAGAGGGAATAGTATCATGTGAAGACACAGGGAGAAGGCAGGGGCAGCTATCTGCAAGCCAACGAAAGAGTCCTCAGATGAAACCAAACCTGCTGACACCTTAATCTCAGACTTCTAGTCTCTAGAACTGTGAGAAAATTAATTACTGTTGCTTAAGCACCCACTTCCTGGTTATTTTTTTATGGCAGCCCTAGCAAGTAATACAAGAATCTTCCACACTATAACTTTCTTAAAAAAAAAAATCAATAAATGTTCGAAATATAAATCCAATTTTCTAAAAATAAGAAAGTAACTCTCACTGAATCCAATATTTCTTGCTCTGAACCCAAATGAGTAAAAAAACAAAAACAGAAACTATTACCAATGGAAGAGATTATCTCACTTGTATTTTTAAGATGATCATATTCTCTACTCATCTCACATGCTTTGCAATAACCATGGGGAAGACCAGAGAAGTTTGAGATCTAATTAGCAGGTAAAATTCTTTTGGTCAGTCAGTAGTACAAAGGAGCTAGTGGATCATTTTAAAACTACTTTGAAAAGAGTTGATTCCATTCCACCAAGCCTCTCCTTAAAGAGAACTAGCAATCAAGAAAATTTTAACTTTCCCCTTTCCCACAACCCACCAAATGACATACTGCCTTGACTTTGGTACACTTAGCTTTTGAACACTCGACACCCCTAAAATGTTAGTGAAGAAACATTTCAAGAGCTCCCAAGTGGCCTGCCAACCAGCACTTGTTTTAGCAATGTTGTCTCGTCTTTACAGCAATGTGTCTGTGCAATTTTTTTGAGTATTTTCATTATATTCTCTTATTTTATAAACCTGAGTGAAAACAGAAGTTCAAATCTCTTAAGTATAATACAATACAGACACTGCTATTAAATGTTTAGCATCAATGGAATGTTTCTTGGTCTTAAGCTAGTCAATTAGACAGTTCTAGGAAAAAAACAAAATTATAAAGTATGTTCTAAGTATTGACAATGTCAACAAAAACTATTTCTAAAAGACCAAAAGAATCAGAAATTTCATTCATTCATCTTATTCATGCATTCACTCACTGGGAGTGGGGAGTCTCTCTGTCCACAGCACAGGTAAATCTGTAACCCTTCAAGTGTCATTCATGAGTCAACAATGTTCGATGGACAAACACAGGGCACTGCTGTGTATCCAAGCTTAAAGGCTCATCTACTGGCAATTTACTACTAAATTTTAATTTACCTTACTAAATTAAAACAAAGATACCATATGCCCTGGAATATCTGTACAGAAAATCATTATAACCACTATGACATTACCCAGTACCTTAAAGGAAATGGCCAGTTTAACACCACCTGAAATCTACAGAGACGTTCTGAGGCACTAAGAGAAGTAGTAATTTCTATCCCTGACTTTTTTGACATTTTTGACATTTATGATTCCATACAAGGGGTTACTGGGGTGGGGAGAGGCCTAGGTGTTAAGCTAGGTAACATTATAAATCCAGACTGAGATCTGAAAGTTGCTCTTTACCTTATGAACTTGAGAAATAAATTTAATGATGTAAGCCTGTATCCAGTTTTCCTTGTTAGAACAATTCAATATTTTACATTGGTAAAAATTAAACAAATTATCTAGCCCCAGAACATACAGATGTTTTAAAGCCTGAAACCTGTCAACATTTAGAATTACTTCATCATTACTTGGCAGAAAACTAACAATACAGTTCCAACAGACCATTTTTTTCCCCTTTAAATACTACTACATTTATTCGGACTTATTGAAAAAAATCTAAGAAGTTCAGGACCATAACAGACTTATTTTTCAGGAAGCAAATCCCAGGATTCACTCAAACCAGTGATTCATTCATTCCATTAGGCACAAAACATGGACAAAAATAAATCTGACTCCTAAGCCTGTTCTAATGATGATGTTAATTAACCACAGAACTTCTTTGAAATAGTGTTTCAATGAGAAATATACAACCAGGGAAGAAAATGAATAAAAAAAAATTTTTTTAACCATAAAAAGCACAAACGAATTATATCAGGACAGTGGGTGACACCATTCTTTCCTACAGTCACATTGGCATGTTTCTGAATGAAAAGAAGGAAAGGTTACCAAACATCAATGTCAAGAACTGGAATTAGCTGTTCCAAAGAGAAAAGAGTTTCATTCCAGTTCAAGACAAAACTAAGCTTCAATGCCCAAGTGATACAAACCTTAGCAAATTATTTTAATATAGTTAGTCACTGCTTAATGGGTCTGCCATTTTATAATCCT